ATATTTGAATACTTGATTTGAATTTGATCAAATTGAATCAAACATTAATTTGGATTTGATCAAATAAATCATTCTTTAATTTGAATTTGATCGATATAAATTTGAATTTGTATTTGATTTGATTTTCAAATCAAATATTCAAATATCAAATTGAATTGCGAAACCCTATCTTAAACTCTTCTAAATCTGACTCTGAAAAGCATTCTCGCCGATTATATAAATACATTTTGTTCTAATGATAATAAACATCAACTAATGCATTATCATAATGTTTGGCGTTATTTGTTTCTATCGATCATTTATGATGTTTTATTATTATTCCTTTGACTATGAAAAGAAACACTTTCATCATGTTTCAAATTCATTTACAGTAAATCGTTTGATATTTTTCAGACTGTTTTTAAATAACTTGAGGCCTAAAAACCTTGGAATTAATGATAAACAATTATCAAGTTCAGTAACTGCAACTTGACCACATAATTTTTTAAGTAGTTCTCTTGTAAAAATCACTTGGTAGTTGAATAAATCCAAGTCAAGGTGATGCATATGATCGGGTATTGTCGCCAAATAAATATTAAATGACTATATATTATCAAATAATAAAATGTATATATAATAAGTTCATGCTATATATATCGTAATTGTTGCAAGAATTTTAATAATATTACTTATGGGTGTTTCCATAAAACATTTTTTATATTGTACAAGGAATATTGATTTGCAATACTTTCATTAATGCATTTTTCCATATTTTCTGATATTCTTAAAACAATTTGATTATCATCTAATATTGTATTATTCAATTCATTAATTTTTATCAAACATTTATAACATAGATATTTGTAATTAACGGAATTGAATGTTAATGCTATGACTGAATTTTCTGGAAGGTCATCTAACATCGCAGAAATAAATGAAAAACATCATAATTCGCCATTTTCTATTTGCAGGTCAAAACCGACATCTAATAAATACTAGTAAAGAATACGTTTTGCTAATTTAAAACTTCTGGATCTTTTTTCAGAGATAGTTTTCACTTTTAATTGTGAAAGGTATTCTAAAAGAACCTTGGCATTAGGTTTATTCCTAATTTAACTAAGAATATTTCCTAATGTTAAGTAGATAGAATGTTCGCTAGTTTTATCCAGATGGTCACAAGTCATTACGTCTGAATATAATATGACGTATAAAACAGTTGCACTATCAAAAATTGATTGTTGTACTCTTTTCCACTATTTTCATTATATTGTTCATAGTAAACTTTCTGACCTTCATGATACAATGCCTTAAATTTAAAAATACAATACTAAAATATACTTTTATTTTCTAACAATTCCTTTATAACATCAAAAATATGACGATAATAAAGATAGTATATTTTATTATTGTATAACATTATCGGCGTTTTATCGAAGGAATTATGCGATAAATTTATCTAATTTAACAATTGATGTTCTTGCTTTATTGAAGTTGGTAAAATTACATTATCACAGGAGATTTTTTAAGCAAACTTAAGTATATCACTATCACATGCATCTGATAAATTCCATTTAATAAACAATTTCATAAAATCTCCATATTTCTCACTTGGGAATTCTGAACGAGCTGAGTTATTAGTAATATTGAGGGACTTAATGACTGGAGTTGATTTAATATCAAGTAACTGATGTTTAATTTCGACATTTTTATTTATCATTCACTAGTATATTAATATTTAATAAGTATATTATGTTTGTACAACTAAAGTATAAATTTAAGCATACTACTTGATCATCATCATTTATCTTCATCATCAATGTTAACCAACTCTTTATTAACGTTAATTAACTCTTCTTTGTTAATGTTAACCAACTCTTCTCTTCTTAAAAGACATTAACTAACTCTTCTTCATGAATGTTAACATTAACCAACTCTTTTTTGTTAATGTTAACTTCAGGAAAATTAACCAGCTCTTCTTCATTAATGTTAACTTCAAGAAAATTAACCAACTCTTCTCCTAATTGGTCCTCGTACTCATAGCTCATCTCATTTTTACTTTTTAGTTGGTTATCTTCTTCTGTAATCATTATTATTTCTTCTTCATTTTCTTTTTCATTTTCTCAGTCATTTTCTTCATCATTTCTTTCGATATCTCTAACTGGTTTAACTACTTTAGAAATTTCATATAAAATTCTATCAATTACACTATTGTGTATTGTTATATGGTTCTATAAAGAAACGTAATAGGAAAATTGTCTTCCACAATATTCACATTCATAAGACATTTTTGTAAGTTTTTAAAATATAATTTTTACAAAAGAATATTTTGAACATTTCACTAATCATCTACAACCTGAAAATGACAGTTTAAATAAGTATTTAACAATGCAATTATAGTAATGATACAATTTCAGATTTATTCAACAATATGATGATGAAATAATCAGCAATAGTTATCACTTTTACAAAATATGAATTATTGCTTGACGTGAGTATTTATCATTAGCAAATAGTATTAATTGACTTCTGCAATGATTAAAAATGGGCACCATAATTAAGAAGTTACAACTCGGTAAGTTGCAACTCCTTGTAAATTTATTTTAATATAAAAATTCATAAAATGTTGCAACTCAAAGTGTTGCAACTTAAGTTGCAACTAGTTAAAAATTTTAAAAATAATTATGGGAACCATCTTTAGCAATGATTATATTAAGTTAATTACAAGTCAGATCATTAATCAGTGATCTACGTTTTTTTTAAGAATATGGCGATTTTTTGATTAATCATCAACAAATCAATCGATTATTTTTAAACTAATAATTAAATTGATAGTACGCAGCGTCAATAACTAACAATTCATCATATTAAGTATGATAATTTGATTTATAATCAGTACATGACTGAAAAATTTAAACTACGATTGAATGAATAATTTAAAAGGATTGAGAAAATGTCAACATCCCTTTTTTCTTTCTTATGCCTCTTACTAACTAAATTGATCTCTTAATAATGAATAACGACAAAAATAAAGTTAAATTTACTCTGAATTTAAATTCTTTGAAACGTCCAAGAACAAGATCAGTAAATACGAAAGAAAAGAAAGAAGAGGTAAGTATTAACTAGTAACTATTTTAATTTTATTGTGTATTGTTTGTAAATCATGATAATTGTTTAAGTTTACTTATATTATCTTTTAGATGATTGTTGAATAAAGTGGTATGAAAACTTTTATATTGTTAGTTAAATTTAGTCAAACATATAAAAAATACATTATTATTAACAGGTATCGATGCAAGCCTAACACAAAAAAAGATAAAAATTCTGAAGATAAACTTATTTGGTAAAGATGATATTCAAGTAATATTTATTTATTTGTTATTGTTTTTTTTGGTTCTTTTTTTATTCTTTTATTTAATAATATTTTGTCATTGTTCATTTTATAAATATAAATATATTTATATTTTATGTCAGGCAACAAGCGAATCACAAATAAGACCTTTATTTCCTAATCTTCCTTCGGTATTGATAACTCCTCCTTCTGCTGTCAAAATAACAGCATGTAAAATCATATTACCTAACAAAATAGTATCTAAAGAAACGAAATCTAAAGTGATAACATTGATGGCAATAGTTCAAAAAGTGATGGCTCAGAAAGCGACAACATTGATGACAACAGCTCAGAAAGTGATGATAGTTGATCAAGGTAAATAAAATTTATACTAGTATTTCAAGTATTGCTATTATCAATGTTATTTAAATCGAATCTCATCAATGATAATTTACTAGCATTCGTGATTTGATCAAATTAATTAAAATTAGTCAAAATAACTATAAAATTTAAATTAGTGATAGAAAGTTAAGAAAGATTAGAAGCTATGATGATTGAATAAAATGGTTATATTGTAACAATAATGTCAAAGTTGAAAAAAACTAGATACTCTAAATGTTGTATCAACTGAAGTCGAAGTGAAAGGCAGAAAAGGCAAAAGAAAAAATAAAAAAGAATTTTATTAAATAAATATAATTTATATTATTTTTTTTTTATATTGTTTCAGTGCTATACTAATTACTTGTATTATATGATGCAATTAAAAAACTTTCTTATGAACTATTTCATGAGCACCAACAAGTAAATGATGTACAAATAAAAACGTGTCTCAAAGCTAAGTTAGAAAATAATTAGTATTGTGCTGAGTAACTTCAAAAGTTACATGATAAAGGTATTTTATTCGATCAATTATGGAGTGGAAAATTATGTTCAGCGGTAAGTAGTATTTATTTTATATGATATAATCTACATATCAGTTGAGAACTTTTTATTAATTTATTTAACACAGCATTTTTAATATATTAGCTTCTTCATGCAAATCACATAAAGAAAGGTTATTACATAAGAATATTAAAGGAGAGTCTATAGAGTACTTTCGGAGTTACCAGAATAAAGTCTTATAGAGATAGTTTTAGTAAGAAGCAGATGAAAAAGTGGAAAGAGAATGAAAATATTAGAAAAGTTTATGAGGATTTGTACATGCTGTATAACCCAAATAATTCATCATCTGATACTTATATCGCATTAATTATTAAATCTATCTTCGCATTCAAAAAGAACGTACACATGCAAAACCATTTGGGTTCAATCGGTATTAGAAGTCATCTTTGATGAAAGACATCTTTTAACGAAAATTGACTTATAGGTTGTTGAATCTTAGACCAAAAATAGGGAATTTAAACAGTCCCAAATGATTATAAACAAATTAAGAATTTATGAGTTATTAAAAAGTCTAATAGCTTATCTATAATAAGTAACTTTTGATAAAAATTTGTTATAATTAATTTTATTAAAATCGATAATTTTCATGGGACTGTCAAGGTGGGATTCTGTTCTTAGGATTAGGTCCTAAGTTTCAAAAATTAAGATTCTAGATTTCTGCATAAGTTTAATATATATTTTTAATAAATATTCAATTAATACATCATCATTAGAATGTAAAATATAACGCCAGTAAAATAAAAATCTTCTCTAGAACTGGCAAATTTATTGGGATTTTTAGGATTTTTTAGGACTGTTTAATATCTCTAATTGAAAATTTAACAGACGTAGAAGCGGTAAATACTTATGTGTTTACTAGTATTTTTGAAACCAATTAAATTACTAATGTTAAAATACTTTATTTAGGATTACTGTAGTAGTAATGATAATGATGATATTAGTACTAATGATAATGATGGTAGTAACAATAATGATGGTAGTAATGATAATGATGGTAGTAATGATAATGACAATGTAAATTCATTTTTTTGAATGAATAATTTGTCTATTGCAGTTAACTGCCAAGATACCAAGAAAATTTGTGAAATTTGAGAATTAATTTAGTGACGAAGGTGTTGAAAGGAAGGTGTTATAAGTTATAAAGAAACTAGTATTTTATTTTAGCATGATTAGTATATAATAATAGCTTAACTGTATCAAAGACGCGCTTTTTATTAATAAATTTTACTGCATATTTGCATATTGATAATCATACAAATTGGTGTTGTTATACATATTTTTAAATGGTATTATTTTATTATATGCATTGCTTTACATTTAAATTGCGTTGTTTTACATGTTTTTAAATGATATTGATTAACAAAGGATTCTTTGCGCAATATTTTTAGCGTTGATCAACATATGATGTTGATTGATATATTCATCGCCTATTTCAAACATGCTGATGTATGTAAGATCGCTTCATCTAAATACCATCCTGACAACAGGTAATGGTGGTAAGTAACTTGAAGCATAGTGAACCATTTGAGTTTAGAATCTATGTCAAGGGCTGGTCTGTAATGAACAAGTGTCACATCGTTTACAAAGGTGGTAGATATGTATAACTTGGATTGAATAATAGTTGTAGATTATAGGTGGTTGATATTGTACTGTCTTTAATCATCATGATGCTATATTACAACTAGAGTTTAGAGGCCTAAGTTCAATTCTTGAAATGATTTTGATGTATGGTGAGGCAACTATGGTGTAGGCTATTATTCTTGATCCTCTTTTCAGTAGTTGTGATAAATGTGAATAATGACAGGTACCAAAGTACTCTACTATGAAGTTTAATGGTTTGGCAGTCTACTTAAGTAGTAACATTTATTCATCTAAATTTAACGCAAATTCATACTGGGTTGCAATATATTAAAGGGATTATAATGGTAATTATATATTGTAAGTCATATCATTCTGTTGAAGGGTATGTAGCTAAACTTTACCATTGGTGTGTGCTTAGTAAAAGTATCAAAAAAAAATGATTTCGATCAATCCTATTTTAGTTAGTAATAACTAAGATCCTACTGTAGGTTACATTGCAATAAATTCTAGTTCAGCTCTTAGCTAAGGCAGATTATTGTATTAGTTTACTATAGGATTTACCAGTTCAATTCTAGAAATGAATTTCATAGGATGAGTACAAACCATGTTTATTGAAAATCACAAATTTATAGAATAAGATGACCATTTGATAGTTGTTTACATAAAGGATAGTAACTCCTATGACATAAGCTATGTAAGGTCACTTCGTCTATACATCACCCTGATAACAGGTAATGGTGATAAGTAACTTGAAGCATAGTGAACCAATTGAGTTTGAAACCTATGTCAAGGAGCTCTATAATAAACAAGTGTCACATCGTCTGCAAAGGATACCTGTAAAGGTAAGATCAATAGTAGGTATTATATAACTTAGATTGAATAATAGTCGCAAATTATAAGTGGTTGATATTGCACTATTTTTAACTATTTTGTTAAACTTTTAATATTTTTTTTCTATTTCAAATGAAAAATAATTAAATTAATAAATATATTTTTCATCAAAAAAATACTTAAGCATTCTTGATAAAAATTATATTCACAAATTAAAACAATTCTATTAAATAAATCTATATTATTTGATAATAAACAATTATCTGCATCACAAAATTTATTATCAGTAGGTCTTCATCTAAAAGAAGCATTTTTACATTTAATTTTATATCAAAACTTAAAAGATAAAATTTTAGATATTTATCATTATTAATTTGCTTTGTATTTTCTAAATTTTGATAAATTTTATCAGAAATTAATAATAGAAATAATAAAACTTTTTTTCTAAAGATTTTAATTTATTAATTGAAATTTAGCTGGATTTCTTAAATTAATAAATGAATCTTCAAAGAAGAGTTATTATTTCTTTTAATATCAATAATTTTTGCTTTTTGAATCTGAATTAGATTTTGCTGTTTGATATCTTAAAGAACTATGAAAATTTTCAACAAAATAATCATTGAAAATTGGTAAATTATTTTTTAAAATATTAATTATTGGATATTGCTTTGAAGTCCAAAAAACACATCACTTAAAAACATAAGTAGTACTTTATTATAATTATATCTTCTTAATCATTGAAATAATATCCAAATTTTTATAATACTTTCTAAATATTCCTCAAAATATACACTTCTAAAAGTATTGTATATATATCTAAATTAAGTAGAATTGAATTATCTAATAAATCTATTATCATTTGCTATTCAGCATCTTTTATATTTCAAATCTTTTTATAACAATATTATGAATATTTTTCATTCATGATAAGTTAGATGTTAAATAAGATTAATCTGTTTGTTTTAATTTTTGTGATAAAATTTTCTTGTTTTTATAATATATAGGAGCTGTGCTATTAAAAATGGGTTACGGTAACTATACATGAAGTCGAAATGAAAACCCAAAAGTCAAAATGTTTCGACTTTGGAGGTCAAAGTCGAAATGAAAAGTC